AGGGACACACAGGGATTTCGGTGGCCATATACATTTCTCCGAATCAAACGGTTCAATAATTAAAGATTTCCTGCATTTTGTATTTTTACCATATACCGAAGATGGTTCTACTCTTTTAAAAACAAACTATCACTCGCTACCCATGATTTTGAGAGTGATTGAATCGAGTGTGATTGAATTGAGTGAGATTGAATTGAGTGAGATATTGAATTGAGTGAAATATTGAATTGAGTGAGATATTGAATTGAGTGAGATATTGAATTGAGTCTTGAATCGAGTATAATTGGAAATAATTTTCTATGGAATAATTATATCTTTTATGAAAATTTTATCTAGGAGTTTTAATTAGGATTTTTTAGTCGAGACAACTTTTTTAATCACAATTAAAAATATTACATTGACAGCGATAGGAATTAACCTCAAAGTATGAAAAAGATACACACTAATATATATATATATATATATATATATATATATATATTGATGTGAAAGTTTATCTCTTGTTTGTAGAGAATTAGACTATATATATATATGTTTGAATAATTCCATATTACTTACTCGTATTTTCTTAAGAATGTTGAACTTTGTCAGATGCTTAACAGTAAATATAATTATTAATATAGTTTATACAGATAAATATAACCTCAGATTTCATACACAACGAAACCCATGTACCCCTTCCACACAGAAAAAATAATAATTTGAGTTGTCGACATTCAAATGAGTAATTCTTTAGTAAAATATTTGCAATTGTATTTAGTTAAGTGTGCATTAGGTTTTTATAATTGTTTGTCATTAATAATTGTGTTGCACTTATTTTCTAATGGAAATTTTTTATTGTATTAAATTGTGTATATTGGTATCGAAATATGTGTAATTTCAATCCGTGAGGAGTGTGTTGGGGCTTCCTCTCTTGACCCACAGAGGGCGCAATGTAATGCCAGAATTTCTGAAAATGGAACCTCCAGACTGGAAGAGATCAGAGCTAACTCTTAAAAGGCTAAAAAAAGTGTGACAAAATAGAGCTTTCATTTTTGAGAAAATTGAGAGAACTTATTTCGAGAAACGTACAGGAATACAGTTCGCCATATTGAGCATACAGTTTTTAGTTAGCCAGCTTTTCAGTCATCGTCTTGTCGATGACTGGAGCACAAATGAGCCATAATATAACGCACGTTGCTAACATCAGATTAACCATGGCAATATGTGTAGGTAGCTTGGAACATGATACCTCATCAAGAGACACCTGAAACGTCTCTTATTTAGCTTTAGCAGCGGATAGTCTAGCAGAGTTAATTAAAACCGTATCGTAATTTAATTTCAATAAAAGTGTAATATATCATTCATTATTCATTTATAATCGAATTTTCTGTCTCTCTGAGTGTGGGTACTGGGTTGTCATATAAATTTATGCTTACTTCTTCTTTATCACTAGATTGTCCAAAATACTACGATCTTCTGACTCAAATACAGAAAAATTAAATGCATGTTTAACCCTCTCGCTGCGTATCCTGATTTTTCTACGGGCAACGTAGATGTAGCTAAGTTTGCGCAAGCCGCGATTTCAGCAAAAAAATCGGGTGGGGCTGTCCTGGGGCACACAGCCGTTGGTTTTCACGTGAAACGTCTATGTTAGCGAATCGCTTTTAAAGTAAAAGATTGAAATAAATAAAAACATGATTGACGGTGTTTTAAGTATTTTAATAAAAAAGAACAGATACATAATAGAAACATAAATTATTATTACAATTAATATTCGACAACGATTTTATTTAACATATGTCTGTGATATGTGAAATAAGAAACATACGGCATAATGTCAACATTAATATTTCTGGTGAATGTACAGTCTATAGTGGTATTGCCTAATGTTGTCGGTGATGTTTGTACGTAGTTAAGGCCGAATTCATTCCTCATGAACTCAACAAGATAGCTGTTCTGTTGTGGATCGCAATTGAAATCGCCGCATAGAACGATTGAAGTCTCCAAGTCTGGCTGAAAGTTCGGTATTAATTTTGTTAAGTTTGCTGAATATGGCAGGAGTGATTGATAAAGACACAGCTTAACAGCTTCAGCCGACGCCTTAGGATGTATATATACGGCACCGAGGATAAACAACGTAAGATCTTCGACTTTAACGTCCACCAAGCATATGTCGCCGACATTATGTTTTCTCAAGACTGAATTTCCACATGACTTGTTGGCATTTACTATGATTTCGCTACAGTTCGTGGAGCTTTGTAGGTTTCTGTAGATTGCAGAACCTCCGGCTGCAGAAACTCGCACCGGCAATTCAGATGAGGTAGACGGACAATGTGTACGATGTCCAAGTGCGGTGTTATTACTTGCTCTTAGTTCGAAGCCATTGATCATCACAGTGTTCGCGCAATTCATCCAAGTCTCGCTAATTACCATATAATCGGAGTTCATCAATATATTATCGCTTTCAATATCTCCTGCATGGGCAACCAAACTTTGTGCATTGAAAGCAGATACGATCAAAATTAATTGCCGTCGTCGATGTAGGTAGCCACCCTGGTCTTCATTGCGCTCGGCTAGGACGTCTCGCTTACAGAAGGCTCTTGTTTGCATTGACAACGTGGGAAGGCGATCGACGAATCTGCATAAATGGTAACCGCGTTGAAATCAATCGAATGCTGATCGGGTCAAGCAGCGGCAATCTGCTCGGCTTTGGAGGATAATGAAAACCGTTTGAGCGCGACAGCGTCGGGATTTTATTGGCATCTATCGACTTGCTACAGGTACTGCATAAGCGAAGTTCCGTCACATTTTCATCGGGGAATTTTGTTTGAAGGAAATAAATGTTGCGATGTTTCACTTTCTTTAAGTCTCTTTCGAACCAAAGTCGATCACAAACGCTGCAAGATAAACCAAACAGATTGGCTTCAAATACAGTTTTGAAGCGTTTGTCCGCTGAACGCCAATGATTTTGCATTGCTTCACTTCTACTGATATTAAGATCTCTGAGTTCCGTGGCAGATCCAATAGATATATCGATTGTCTGTTCATTCGTTACGTCCATAAGTACAGGTATTCCAGTGGTAGAGGTGCTCGCGAGGTTGGCGGCAGTAGAAAAGTTCCTCGCGGCGTCGGCTTTACGGCGTTCCCGAAACCGTCTCGCTCGCTCGGCGCCGGACATTGGGGTACCTGTGTGTGGCCTCTTTCCAACGATAGCCGTGATTTATATTTCTGGCTGGTTCTTGCACGAGCTGAGGCCGACATAGCAAATGTTTATATATTTTTATCACTTTCTGGTTATTTTTAATATAAATACTGTCCAAATTACAATTATTTTTGTATGAATCAATCGGTTTCAATAAACTTGATAAACACACGAAAGAATCACCGCGCTATCAAGTCGGAGTCACGAGTTACACTGAATAGAAACGAGCGAGAGCGCTGGTTTCGCACAATTAACGCAGTACCCCTCCCCCGCCACCCCGCTCGACCCAGACCCGGACTCAAGGTCATAACAGTGAGCTGACTATATAAGTGAAATATTCACACCACATTTTTGTTTCAAGGACTAATAGTTTTGTAATTATTAAGGTACGATGATATAGACCTTTTCGTTACGGTCCACTTTTTGAACCTGGTACCCGTATGTTTCGGCGCGATTTTAAAGACGTTTCACGTCAAAAGGCATTTTTTTACAACTATTTAGCCGTGCAATCTGCGATGTTTCTGTCTACGATTTTATTCATATTTTTATGTTCATATTTTTATGATCTAATTCTATGTTTTAAAATAATTTTTTTGTATATTTTAACTTTAAAATGTAGATTTAATATGTAGATTTGAAATACATAATAAAAATAAACACACGCAATTTTAGAAACTATTTTGATAAAATAATTACGCAGCGAGAGTTTTAAAATAACAGTTTATGGATATGTATCTGAAAATATTCAGTGAAAGTCAAACAATTCTTGCATAAATAATAAGGCAGTATTTCAATAATAAAATGTATTTATAACTGAAGTATAAGTAAATAAATAGTAAAAACGCAGTTTTTGATGTAGATAGTTGTTTTTTAAATCTATTATTGAAAACACGAATATTGAGTAATGGCTAGTTTCATGCAAATGTCGATCCATTATGGAGATAAAAGTTTTTGTTTCTTTTTTTATTGAACGAGTACTTTTCATCCCAAAGCAAAAACTATTTCAGTAAGTGACCAAATAAAATAAACTTGAAAAATAATCAAAATTGAATAAATTTTTATTTCTTTAAAATATAATAAGGAATATTGATTCATACATCTTTTGTTTCTATCAAGAAAAAAAGTGCTATACGATATGGAAAACTTTTGAGCGTTCGGTAGTAACCAAGCTTACCAAATTTGAAAAAATCGATAAGCACGTGACATGGACGTAGACACAAGTTCTCAAAATGTGCGTTGTTACGTTATCTAGTTGTGGATAATAAACCAATAGCAACAACAAATGGGAATGCATTCAATGTAGCAGTAATTATAAAAAAACACACATACTTATCAAGTAATATTTTATGTTATGTGAAAATATTAAAAAATATTTGAAACTAGTTCTGTTTTCAAGCTTACGTATTCTGCTTTCTCCTAAATATTTGAATCACCTATATATATTTCTTTTGGGGCGTTAGGGAAAAAGGACGAGAGTAAATTTTTACGACGCGCGCGCACACCGTCACGGATGCGAAAATGCTTTGTCTAGAAATTTACATAACGGGACAGATCATTCCCTCCTTCGAAGTTTTCAGGAAAATATTTCTCTTCATTTCCCTGAGGAAGGGGACACGCGGGTTTGAACCAGGAACCTCACGACCTGCAGTCGAATGCTCTACCACTGAACTATACCCCCGCGTCAGCGAAACTTTGCTTTGCATTCCATAGGAAGGAATACAAAAATGCCTTGTCTAGAAATATACAGAACGGGACAGATGATTTCCGCCTTCGAAATTCTCAAAAAAAAAAATATTTCTCTTCACTTCCTTGAAGAAGATGGCACTCAGGAGTGAAACAGAAAGCTCTCGATCTGCAATCGAATGCTCTACCACTGAGCTGTACCCCCGCGTCAGCGAACCTTTGCTTTGCATTCCGTTGGAAGGAATACTAAAATGCCTTGTCTGTATATTTATACAGAACGGGACAGATGATTTCCGCCTTCGAAATTCTCAAAAAAAATTCTGTTCACTTCCTTGAAGAAGAGGGCACTCGGGGTTGAAACAGAAAGCTCTCGATCTGTAGTCGAATGCTCTACCACTGAGCTATACCCGCGCGTCAGCGAACCTTGCTTTGCATTCCGTAGGAAGGAATACGAAAATGCCTTGTCTAGAAATATACAGAACGGGACAGATGATTTCCGCCTTCGAAATTCTCAAAAAAAAAAAAAAAAAAAAAAAAAAAAAAAAAAAAAAAAAAAAATCTGTTCACTTCCTTGAAGAAGAGGGCACTCGGGGTTGAAACAGAAAGCTCTCGATCTGTAGTCGAATGCTCTACCACTGAGCTATACCCCCGCGTCAGCGAACCTTTGCTTTGCATTCCGTAGGAAGGAATACGAAAATGCCTTGTCTAGAAATATACAGAACGGGACAGATGATTTCCGCCTTCGAAATTCTCAAAAAAAAATTCTGTTCACTTCCTTGAAGAAGAGGGCACTCGGGGTTGAAACAGAAAGCTCTCGATCTGTAGTCGAATGCTCTACCACTGAGCTATACCCCCGCGTCAGCGAAACTTTGCTTTGCATTCCGTAGGAAGGAATACGAAAATGCCTTGTATAGAAATATACAGAACGGGACAGATGATTTCCGCCTTCGAAATTCTCAAAAAAATTCTGTTCACTTCCTTGAAGAAGAGGGCACTCGGGGTTGAAACAGAAAGCTCTCGATCTGTAGTCGAATGCTCTAACTGAGCTATACCCCTGCGTCACCGACCCTTTGCTTTGCATTCCGTAGGAAGGAATACGAAAATGCCTTGTCTAGAAATATACAGAACGGGACAGATGATTTCCGCTTTCGAAATTCTCAAAAAAAAATTCTGTTCACTTCCTTGAAGAAGGGCACTCGGGGTTGAAACAGAAAGAAAGCCTCGATCTGTAGTCGAATGCTCTACCACTGAGCTATACCCCCGCGTAAGCGAAACTTTGCTTTGCATTCCGTAGGAAGGAATACGAAAAATGCCTTGTATAGAAATATACAGAACGGGTTACAGATGATTTCCGCCTTCGAAATTCTCAAAAAAAAATTCTGTTCACTTCCTTGAAGAAGAGGGCATTAGGGGTTGAAACAGAAAGCTCTCGATCTGTAGTCGAATGCTCTACCACAGAGCTATACCCCCGCGTCAGCGAAACTTTGCTTTGCATTCCGTAGGAAGGAATACGAAAATGCCTTATATAGAAATATACAGAACGGGACAGATGATTTCCGCCTTCGAAATTCTCAAAAAAAAAATTCTGTTCACTTCCTTGAAGAAGAGGGCACTCGGGGTTGAAACAGAAAGCTCTCGATCTGTAGTCGAATGCTCTACCACTGAGCTATACCCCCGCGTCAGCGAAACTTTGCTTTGCATTCCGTAGGAAGGAATACGAAAATGCCTTGTCTAGAAATATACAGAACGGGACAGATGATTTCCACCTTCGAAATTCTCAAAAAAATTCTGTTCACTTCCTTGAAGAAGAGGGCATTAGGGGTTGAAACAGAAAGCTCTCGATCTGTAGTCGAATGCTCTACCACTGAGCTATACCCCGCGTCAGCGAACCTTTGCTTTGCATTCCGTAGGAAGGAATACGAAAATGCCTTGTCTAGAAATATACAGAACGGGACAGATGATTTCCGCTTTCGAAATTCTCAAAAAAAAATTCTGTTCACTTCCTTGAAGAAGAGGGGACTCGGGGTTGAAACAGAAAGCTCTCGATCTGTAGTCGAATGCTCTACCACTGAGCTATACCCCCGCGTCAGCGAACCTTTGCTTTGCATTCCGTAGGAAGGAATACGAATATGCCTTGTCTAGAAATATACAGAACGGGACAGATGATTCGCTTTCGAAATTCTCAAAAAAAATTCTGTTCACTTCCTTGAAGAATAGGGCACTCGGGGTTGAAACAGAAAGCTCTCGATCTGTAGTCGAATGCTCTACCACTGGGCTATACCCCCGCGTCAGCGAACCTTTGCTTTGCATTCCGTAGGAAGGAATACGAAAATGCCTTGTCTAGAAATATACTGAACGGGACAGATGATTTCCGCTTTCGAAATTCTCAAAAAAAAATTCTGTTCACTTCCTTGAAGAAGAGGGCACTCGGGGTTGAAACAGAAAGCTCTCGATCTGTAGTCGAATGCTCTACCACTGAGCTATACCCCGCGTCAGCGAACCTTTGCTTTGCATTCCGTAGGAATGAATACGAAAATGCCTTGTCTAGAAATATACAGAACGGGACAGATGATTTCCGCCTTCACAAAATTCTCAAAAAAAAAAAAAAAAAAAACTTCTGTTCACTTCCTTGAAGAAGAGGGCACTCGGGGTTGAAACAGAAAGCTCTCGATCTGCAGTCGAATGCTCTACCACAGAGCTATACCCTCGGGTCAGCGTATCTTTGCTTTGCTCTAATTTGTGACATCACTACTAGTAGGGAGAGATCGTCCTTCGCCTACGGAGCTTCTCTCATGCAATTTTTGAACGGTTTTTTTTATTCAACCAAACATATTTACAGGAAATTAAAAAATTAGTAAATTAAGCTTTAAATTATGTTTCATGTACATGAAACTTAAGAGTAAATATTAGGTTACCTATTTAAATAATAATTGCAAGTATATGATTATAGATGTATATTTATTACGTACGCATTGCGATGAACTTAAACACATTGATTACATTGTAGATTATAAGAGCCTTTTGTATTCGTATATTTATTTTTGAAATTATTCTTCTTTTTGGCGGTACTGAAAAAGGATGAGGGTAAATTTTTACGGTGCGCGCGCAAAACTTCACGACACCGTTGTCTAATATTTTAACATGCCTCTTTTTTGGTGCTATGGGACTGATATTTGGGAAATCATAATAATTATTGTTATAAACCATTTCTGTTGGGACGCATCCCCCTGTGCATTCCCGCCTCTACAGCTTTTCAGCGAATATCTCGGAACCCGAGCCTCACAGTCCATTCGGACCTAGCTCATTCGATTGCTTTCTACTGCTCTTCCAGTTATTATAATTTCATGTATATGTGTTGTGTATGTGTGCCCATAGGGCTATTTCTTCCATAGTTTTTAATTGTCTTAAACTTTTAAATTTGTTTAAATTTATAATATTGTGGCTCCTTTTCGAGTCTCGGACTTGAGATTTGAACCAACTGTTCCAATCATCGAGACCCATCCAGTCATCTACTTCATTCACATTGTGGATGTATAAGGAGGGCTTAAGCACTGAAATATCATGCTCCCATGCTAATCCTATAGGGACTGGTAAAATTGCCTAAGGAATTGACCTTGTAACTTGATTTTTGGAGGTCTGCCATATTTTCGTATCAGCACGAGCTTTACGTGGAATTGAACCCTCTCCCCCTACAGGGCTTCCCCAGAAATAACTCGAATCCTATGCCATCTTGGTCAACCACACCGGCTGGATTCGATTGTTCTTCCTATGAGCATCCTAGATATATTTTTTCAGGACCATAGCCCTATTTCTTTACCTATATTTAACATTTTAAAATTATTTAAAGCTATAATTTTTTTTTAAATTCCGCATAACTCCGAGGATTTTTGAGATTCGTTAATGAAACTCGGACCATAGGTTCTCCTCGTTGATCTGTTTCATCTGTTATAATTCGTGTGCAGATAGTGGGCTTAAAGGGGGGCGTTATCTCTAAATTTAGAATCCCCATGTTATTCCTAAGGGATTCGATCTTTTGATGACGTAACGACATTACAGAAATAGAAGGATGAAACTTTGGGATCACCTACTACTCTGTGTATCGTTGGGATGTACGTGACCCTTTACGTCACAGTTGTTCCCCAACGGGGGGAGTTAGCTTCGTTTTCCTTTCCCAAGCTAGTACCGCCCCATTTGCAACTACAGACTCCAGACCGGTTTGAATGGATTCCTCACAACCAGGCGCAGTTTCAAGTTGCTGGGTACCCTTCTTCTATTTTATTTAATTGTTTTAATTATTTTAAAATGACCATAACTCGGGGGTTCTTCAGGATTATGTCTTAGTTTTCTTAGGAATGATTCTTCTTGCCGAGACATTCAATATGAGGTCTCAGATGTCAAATTCGGTTCACCTTATCTCCAGATACAGTCTGCCGAAACCCCCTATGTTATTGGTACTATTGTCTGTGTGCGGGGTTGTTTAAATTTATTTAAATCATGATTATATCTCGAGTTTGGCTGGTCCGATAGACTGAATGTTAGTATCATTCAACTCTGCTCTTGACCGCCTTTCGTCCTTGGCGAAGCTTGCCCTGCTCAAGATTTTTAGAAATATTTTAATCTTGTTACGTCAAAGAAGTATAACTTCTTACGTGCGTACATAAGTACACACACACACATTTTTTCTACCAATTTATGAATTGTTTACCAGTGTTTTAAGCAACTTTTTGTTCCTCTTTAAACTTTAATTTTAAATAGCATTATTAGAGTTCAAAACATATAAAAATCTGTAGAATAAAAAAAAGTTTTTATGTTATGAAATTTTGATAGTTAAATTATCCAGTAGTTTTTTTAAAGTTTTTTTAATAATATTTTGAATGTTGTAGTCGGAAATAATATTTTGAATGTTGTAGTGTTGTAAAATTATAGTTTTTACAACCATAATCATAGTTAAAAATCCCTGTTTCTACAACAAATTACAAATTGGAAAGTAATTCCATTAAAAAATCAGATATAAAAAAACTTAAAGTGCACTTTAAAGATACGAAAAACAGAGTTGATTTTGTAAACAAAGGGTCCTTTTATTTGTCTAAGTTCCTGAAATATGAAAAATTCAACTACTATTTTTAAACTTATATTAATGTAACAAATTGTCTTAAAACTCAGTACCTATAATTTATCGTCAATTTCCTTGTTCTTTAAACAAAAAACAAACAAACTAAAACAACTATACATACTTTTGTGTGTTTCCGAAAAATATTTTTTAGTTAGTAATTAAATACTTTCTTTCTATGCAATAAAGCTACGTTTTTTTTGTGGGTTAACATTTGGTTTTAAAACTTCGGAACCAAATACAGATTTCAAAAATTTGTTTTCAGCGTAAAAGCTAACTAAACAAGCACAATAAAAATTATTAAATTTTTAACCACTAATGTACACCTAAAATCTTAAAAGGTTTTTAAAAAATGTGTCACAATCCCATATTTAAAAAATATCTCTTTCGAAATTGTTTTCTTGTAGAAATGACACAAGTTTATTCTCGCTCGAATATTTAGAAGAAATTTTATTTGAGGAAATCATTCATATTTTAAATCTGGAATTCATTTGTGTGAAACAAAAACACAAATATTGTTTCATATCTAAATAGTATACCTCCTCTGTCCCAGCACAAAGCATCTTAAAATACATAAATTCTGAATATCCACTTGTTATAGATTTCGCAAGATATTCAGAGTATTTCGAATATCAAATATTCAAGCATACGCTCCACCATTCACATGAAAGAATCAGAATGAGAGGAAATTTGCAAGTGTAATAATCCGTGCAATACATATATAATTTTAGCACTGAATGAATTGTTCAAGAATTGCAATGTCTGTAAATCTCTTCTCTTTAAACGCTTCTGTGAGAACTCCGATTCACACTACAAAACTTTTTAACAAAGTCTGCTAATGATGATGTTTAAAAGAAGCAAAATGCTCATGTAGTGTGGAAAATAATAACGTATTTCAAAAACGAAAGAAATCTATAAAAATTTTATTTAAAGATTCAGAACACAGAAATTATTGAAGTAAAGGTAAGAAGAATAACCCCCAAACGTTTAGTGTGAAATTATCCAAACAAAGTGACCATAATTATTACATGTTAGCTTTGGAAGCAATTATCAGAAAGAAAGACATTTGGTTCACTTACCCTTTATAAAATTTTAAATAAGATTTCATTGATAATTCCTGAAAATTTGCGCAATTATTTTTTTTGAAATTTTCTTAAACATAGTTCTCTATTCATTTGCCAAGCTTAGAAAAAACGTAATAAGAATGTTAATAATAGGCTTTACGGTAGAAAAATATTGAAATATTTTAACTAAAATATGACTGCTTGCATATTACAGTAATACCTAATTGTCGACAATCCAGTATAATGTTTAGCGACGCTGACTGCTGTGCCGTAGGGCCTGGGTTCGAATCCCGGATAAGACATTGATGCGTGTAAATGTATAGTGTCTTTGCGGCATGGGGGTACTCTAAATAGCTGTCGAGCCGCAAGTCCTCTCATGAGGTTGGTGGATGAGGAAGAGAGGTGGGAGGGGGCCCTGACCCTCCCCCAGAGTGTTCTCCCTCAAAATTGGAGGGGGGGTCTAAATCATTCTGTCACCTGTACGATGTTCAAGGCTACGGTCAACAACAGGCGTAAACCTAGCCCCTTGCTATGATGAATTTAGTGGGCCTGGACCTAACGCAGTCGAGATCAGATGGCATAAGAAACAACCATAGATTTATTTTTAATAAGAGAGCACATTTTGTTCATAAAATGCAGGCATAAGGATGCGTGATTTAAATTAAAAAAAAACGTGTAGTTAGCAATTTTTAGACTAATTTCTAATGTCACAAATACAATGTAATTGTATGCAAAATGTAAGTATAACTATCTAAAATATATCATTATGATATTAAATGTATCAAATTTCCTCTTGTACATAATTTATGAAATTCAGTTCATACAACAAACTGGACAGATCTGCATGATCGAGAAGTGGCAACAGATTTTGTATATATATTTAGGGCGAAAAATTAGAACTAAAATACAAAAAAATGTTATCCTGAAAAATTAAAAATGTTTTAAATAATTAAAACATTTTCAGAAACATTTTCATAACTGTCGCATGCCCTGATAAAAATTTCCAACCTGAAAACACAATATTTTTAAATAAGATCTCACCTCCCCCAAAACCATGTTTCCTTGATTAGTATTTCAATTCGATTACCTAAAGTTTAAGATTATGGGAATATAATTATAAGGAATTGAATAAATAGAATTCATTCCAAATTTTTGAAAATGTTTCAATTCGAAGAGCATGGGGCATATGATTAATTATAATATTAATTTTTATTGAAACTGGACAGCGAAACTCACGAATAATGCATACGGTATTGTTCACAGATTTTGTTTTTGTGTATATCAATAAGAAATTCAATCATTTGTATGCTACCCAAAAAACGATCTACGAATAACAAACATAAATTTGCTTTAATGATTTATTTTATAAAATAAAAATATGAGCAATTCAAAACTTATAGCTCTGAAATTGATTTCGGTGCTTAGTAAACTATTAAAAAAGTTTTATGAATTCAGTTATGATTCTCATATTTTAAAAAAATAAACAAAGTTTTCGTATAAAATTAAATGTTTATTGTTGAAAAAATGCTTAGAA